ACTACAATGACGTGGGAAAATACCCGAACAAAGCTGAATGCCATACATGTAAATACCTGCGAAAACATAAGTGTGTGTGTGTGTGTGTATATTATATACACACACATACATACATATGTACACACACAGACACTGCTCAAAAAAATAAAGGGAACACTTAAACAACACAATGTAACTCCAAGTCAATCACACTTCTGTGAAATCAAACTGTCCACTTAGGTAGCAACACTGATTGACAATCAATTTCACATGCTGTTGTGCAAATGGAATAGACAACAGGTGGAAAGCATAGGCAGCTAGCAAGACATCCCCAATAAAGGAGTGGTTCTGTAGATGGTGACCACAGATCACTTCTCAGTTCCTATGCTTTCTGGCTGATGGTTTGGTCACTTTTGAATGCTGGCGGTGTTTTCACTCTAGTGGGAACATGAGACGGAGTGTACAACCCACACAAGTGGCTCAAGTAGTGCAGCTCATCCAGGATGGCACAGCAATGTGAGCTGTAGCAAGAAGGTTTGCTGTGTCTGTCAGCGTAGTGTCCAGAGCATGGAGGCGCTACCAGGAGACAGGCCAGTACACCAGGAGACATGGAGGAGGCCGTAGGAGGGCAACAAGCCAGCATCAGGACCGCTACCTGATGCAAGGAGAGACAGGAGGAGCACTACCAGAGCCCTGCAAAATTACCTTCAGTGAGCCACAAATGTGCATGTGGCTGTTCAAACGGTCAGATACAGACTCCATGAAGATGGTATGAGGACCCGACGTTCACAGGTGCGGGTTGCGCTTACAGCCCAACACCGTGCAGGATATTTGGCATTTGCCAGAGAACACCAAGATTGGCAAATTCACCACTGGCACCCTGTGCTCTTCACAGATGAAAGCAGGTTCACACTGAGCACATGTGACAGACGTGACAGGGTCTGGAGATGCTGTGGAGAACGTTCTGCTGCCTGCAACATCCTCCAGCATGACCACTTTGGAGTGGGTCAGTAATGGGGTGGGATGGCATTTCTTCAGGGGGCCGCACAGCCCTCCATGTGCTCGCCAGAGGTAGCCTGACTGCTATTAGGTTCCGAGATGAGATTCTCAGACCCCTTGTGAGACCATATGCTGGTGTGGTTGGCCCTGGGTTCCTCCTAATGTAAGACAATGCTAGACCTCATGTGGCTGGAGTGTGTCAGCAGTTCCTGAAAGATGAAGGCATTGATGCTATGGACTGGCCTGCCTGTTCCCCAGACCTGAATCCAATTGAGCACATCTGGGACATCCTGTCTCACTCCATCCACCAACGCCATGTTGCACCACAGACTGTCCAGGAGTTGGGGGATGCTTTAGTCCAGGTGTGGGAGGAGATCCCTCCCATCCGCCACCTCATCAGGAGCATGCCCAGGCATTGTAGGGAGGTCATACAGGCACATGGAGGCCACGCTACTGAGCCTCATTTTGACTTGTTTTAAGGATATTACATCAAAGTTGGATCAGCCTGTAATGTTTTTTCCCACTTTAATTTTGAGTGTAACTCCAAATCCAGACCTTCATGGGTTGCTAAATTTGATTTCCGTTGATAATTTTTGTGTGATTTTGTTGTCAGCACATTCAACTACGTAATGAACAAAGTATTTAATAAGAATATTTTGTTCATTCAGATCTAGGATGTCTTATTTTTGTGTTCCCTTTATTTTTTTGAACTCTGTGTGTGTGTGTGTGTGTGTGTGTGTGTGTGTGTGTTATGTTTTTGCAGGTATTTAAATGTATGGTGTTTAGCTTTCTTCGGGTATTTTCCCACGTCTTAATATTTGTGCTTTTATTATGCCTAAGGATGGCAGATGAGATTCTGCCGAAACATCACTATAATAAAAGCACAAATATTAAGATGTGGGAAAATACCTGAAGAAACCTATATATATGTGTGTGTATGTATGTATGTATGTATGTATGTATGTACACACACATACACACATACACATACATACACAAATACACATACACAAGTTCACTTAAAGGTTGAGATATACATACATAGAGAGTTGTGTGTGTGTGTGTGTAATGTGATGAAGTATTTTTTTTCTAATTTCACTGATGCATAGTGGCAGGTTAAAAATATATTGTGGTTTCACTATAGCTGCATATTAAGTCCTATGAATCCAGAATGAAGGATTGGATGTATTTAACCTTCAGAAAATACTATTATGGAAAGTATGATAGCATCTTCAACTAACTATGTGACAGATTCTATCTTAACACGGAGATAAGTACAGTTTGAAGTTTGAACTGATAAGTAGGTAAGGTAAGGTAAGGTAAGGGGTTCCTTCCTTGAATATATGCAAGTAGATGACTGGTGATATTTTAATTTGATTCCTCCAATGAGCAGAGAAATGTATCAAAACTGTGATTTTATGTATAAATGTGTTCATTAATTAATTATTAAAAATAATTAATTAATTTTATTAATGTTCACTGCATTAAGGATACTCTTACTGTTTGGATGACAAAAATACTTATTTGATGCAGGGTTGGCTTTTTTAAAGAAAAGGCAGTCAAGGAAATCCATTTTTTAAAATGCATTTGTCAGATTTATCTAATATTTTATTCAAATACTCAAGTGATACATGCTTATTCTCCACTATGAGATTCCTTGAACTGAAAAAGAATGTCTGGCCTCAACTCACATTTCCACATTTGTAGTCTTTTACATGGATCTTAGTCCAGTCCAACAATTTAAATACTATTCAAGTATTTTACTAAATCCTAGCCATTGTAGCATTACTTCCTTATCATACTATTCATTGCATACAATGTGCGGAAAAAGATGGAGAAGTAATGTATACAACACATTGGGGAAATTAAACCAGTCTACTGCACACCAGTGGTTGTATTTTAAGATGCAGTGATAAGTTGTTAATGTTTCATAAACTTACTGAAGTTACTTTGTCTTTTCTTCTTCCCCTCCCCCATTTTTCTTTTGGGAATTTTTAAAAACTGTTATTAATATTTTGTTTTCTCTTTTTTAAAATGCATTTTAAAATTAGGTTCTTGCATTAGTTTTAACTATTTAATATAATTCCTAATAACATTTATTGGAAAAAAAGAATAAAAACCAACACAGCATGTACATTCACCATGTTTCACTATATCTTTCTTTTTTTGGTTCTGCTGGGTCCATATATTGCTGGGTCTTCTCTACTTTTAACATTCTTACTTTTTCTCTTTTTGAGAATCTTATCAGTTCCAGTTATTCCAGTTCTCTTTTCTCTTGACCCTTCATTTGTACATCACTTATTATTATAAAGGGATAGCAAAAGTATGCCAGAAAATGTTTTGCTTTGTTTCATTCAATCTTTCCTCCTCCAGGTTGATACAAGACAATTCCTAAACATTATCCTTTGTTATCCTTTAATAAATCGATTGATCGATTTATTTATTTATTTATTTATTTAAGCAATTATAAGATAACAGGTATTAGTATAAACATAGTTATGGATACATGAAATGGATACATATAAGAAAAAAAACAATAGGACAGGGACGATAGGCACATTGGTGCACTTATGCATGCTATTGTTCATTTTAAAAAAACAGTTTCCTATTGTTGAATGTTGAATATTTTTAAAGCTTGAATATTATCAAATTGCATCATGATGTGACACTTTCTATCACTTAACAGAACAATTGAAAGACAATAATAATTTTCATTTCACTCATTTTTCTTTTTTGCTTGATTGCAGGGCTTTTTCCGCAGGAGCATTCAAAAGAACATGGTTTATACATGTCACCGAGATAAGAACTGTGTTATTAATAAAGTCACTAGGAATCGCTGCCAATACTGCAGACTACAGAAGTGCTTTGAAGTGGGAATGTCCAAAGAATGTAAGTAGAAATGCTTTATCTTTCTGTTCAAATCATAATGACATTCATGGGAATCTAGCTACTTAATTGGAGTAATTGAGATCAAATGTTGGAGTGAAAACATCAAATGTCTCCTTTTTCATGAGGCTGTCATGTACTTTACATTTTGTTGGCAGTTTCTGCACAGAATTTAGGTAGCTTGAATTCTTGCAGCGCTTAGCATCTCTCATTGCAACTCAGTACTTTGTTACTTTGTAATATGCAATCTAGAGGAAAAATTATGTACATATTTAAAGATCCTAGAAAAGAAAGAGGTGAAAAAATTAGAGAACAGAGCACAATAAATGAAGCCATAAGAGATACAGTAGAAGCACATACACATGCAAAAAATCCAGAAGCTAAGTTCACTTATGAAATATGAATCTATTAATAGTAAAAATGGACTTGAAGCTTTAAGTGGCATCTCTTAGGTACAAACAAAATATGTGCAAATGAGAATAGGCAATAGTAAAAACTGTTAGCAAAAGAATGGAGAGTATAATCAGATTTAAAAATTAATACAGGAGAAATGGCCAACATGAGGAGAGTATTCATATAGTGCAGGAGGAGAGTATTCACATAATTACCTAAGTGGTCTTTGATGTTGTTGCAGGATAAGCAAATGTATCCAGTATATTTTTCCTCCTGAATTACAGTTACTTGATAGTTGCAGCAGTACAGAAAAACACATTGGTAACTGGATATTTCTTATAGGAAATGTAACGTTCCTGTTTCAATACAGTGGAATCAGAATACTCAATATGTCTGATTAAATTCTAAAGTATGTTGAAATAGGAAAAAAAAAACCTTTGTAACAATCAACACCCTAAAACAAAAGAAAAACTGTCGTGTGAGAACTGAGCCTGCTCAATGGCTTTGCAAGAATCCTGGAGTAAAGAGGATGGTAGAAAAGAACCATGAAGGAGATAGTGAGAATAGTTTGATTTAGTATTGTACTGTAGTAATATAGAGAAAGATATAGTTGCTAGGAAAATAATGGCATATAGTAAGAGATTGATAGCAAGGTGTCACATTTTGCTTTTTCTCTGTTTGTTTTATATATTTATCAAATAACTAATATTTGAAGAATTATGGATTTCAGAAAACCTTCCTATGCCTGACCTTCTCTACTGTTAGTGGGTCAGATAGTGAACATTAAGTAATTAATTGCATTTTAATTCCTCTTTTGATTGCCTATTCTTAAGCCTATATTTTTCTACACTGGAAAATAAGAAATAAGACTTCTAGGCAAACTGTGACTTAATCAGAAGACTCAATTAAATAGCCAATTTTCTTCAGTTACAATGGAATTTGTAAATTAATATTCAGTGCTTAGATGTGAAAGCAAAATGGATAACTGTTTTTTGTTTACAAGCATTAGCCACAAAAGGAATCTGAAAAGCAAGATTCCCTGAGTGAAATAAGATATTCTTGCACCTGTCACATGAAATGCTTATTAGAACAGGAATTTCTCATATAAACTAGCCATTCAGTTCTTAAGAGTATTGCAACAGAATTTTGAATTGTGGATGTTAATTGCATTGGTAATGACAAGAATTGGGATAAAAGTAATAATAATGTACGTAACACACTCTAAGTAACAGATAAGACTAACATAATATTGGTTATGAGAAGAAATACAACACAGGGCTATAAATGACATTACTATAACACTATGCATGTTTACCATGGAAAACGCTTCATTGAATACAGTTGAACTGTGATAATATACAACATTGTATTGTATTAGTTCTCTTGGATCTTCGGAATCAAGGCTTTTGGGGTTCACTCTCATATCCTAAGCTTTGCATTTCAGTAGCAAATTATCCATTTCAGAGAAAAAATGAGAAGGCAAACCACTAAGACTCAAAATATAAATCACATAAGGAGATAAGACTGCAATTGTCCAATCACATACCTGCTCTGGTGAAAATGCCCAGAATTTTCCCTTGAAAAATAAAAGCAAGCAGGCAGAATAGTATACATCTCCAATTTTTTTTAAAAAAAAACTTGCTAAAACATTTCAAAATGTAGGCTTACCCCAAAGGCCCTAAATGACTTCCAGGCCAGATGTTGCTTTTCTGCAGTTTGGATTAGATCCTTGCAACCTCACAATTGAATTAAAGAGTGGTGTGAACCAAGGCTTGCTGCAATTCATTCATGTAATGCTAAATATATCTGTTCTTGATTAATCACTACAATTGGGACTGACAAAAATTGTTAAAAAAGCAATCAATAAGTGAAACTTCATAATTTTACAGTCTTACTTCAGCATTCCTTTGCTTTACAGACATAAGTGTGAAAATGTTTCTTCATCAGTATCCTACCTGCAAATGGTTTATAAAAGAGGCAGTCATGCTTCAAAGACTACTTGTAGTATTATGCCTACATTGATCTCTACTTTCTCTTTAGAAGCATCTTTATTCCTTATTGAAAAGTTTAGGTTGGAAAATCACTAGTCTTATAATTGTTATGAGATAAAAGAATAATAAAAGAACAAGAACCCCGGAAACTTAAAAAAAGGGGGGAAGAAATTGTAGTAAGAGAATAAACAAATGCAGTATCCTGGGACTGTTGGGTGTTGATTGTGATAAAGATACAAAAGGATTAATAAGGGCAATAGAGACAAAAGGAGACTTTTGGCAAGGATCACAACAGAAGACTTTGAAATTTAATAACTCAACTGATTTTAAAAAATGGAAGAAATAAGCAAAGACTTTAAGTCGGAATTGTAAACTGTAACAGGAATGCTGAAAGAAAGAAGGGAATTATTGGACATACTGGCAAAAAAAATAATGGCGATGCAGTCTGTAGAAGAACAAAGAAATCTCAGAGGAGGAGTTAAAGGAAAAGGAAAGTAACTCAGATGAACATGGAAAACAAGAGATTGCCAAAGACATCAAAGGAACTAAAACTATGACATTGATGACAGAGTTAATAAATAAAAGAGAAAACACTCCCAGGATTAAACAAAAGAAGAAACTCTACAAGAAGAAACTTCAGAAAAGAGAACAGGAAAGAGTGAGGGAGAAGATGGGTGACTGGCAGATGAAAATAAAAAGGAAAGATCGGGAAAACTTAGAAAAGGAAAAGCTAGCCAAAACCAAGAGAAATGACAAGGCCGAGAGATTTGGAGATAAGAGTTAGATAGGATATAAAAGGTGGATGCCACATGGGAATGTATTTGGGTATTTTTTTTATTAGAAACTTAAAATGGGGAGATTTGAAATTCAAAATGTATTGGGAATTGCCCTAATAGTATTATATAACTATATATGAGAAAAGTGAAGATAAACTAAGAGATGTTAAGAGGGTTTTATTATTATTAATCATATATACATACATACATACATACATACATACATACATACATACATACATTCATAGATTTTCACGGGTACAGGTATGTAGGTCTAGGTGTGTTCGGGTCTTTTCCCGTGTAAGATTAAGAGTCTCTTGGCGACGTTTCAGCGAGGTCCCACTCACCATCTTCAGGCTGGTGCTTTCAGCTTCGTGCCAGTGCAAGCAGTGTGTGATCGGAGCTGCCTTCTCTCTATATTACTGGTGGTGGGGGCTGGTGTGCTGGGCTGGTTGGCTGTGCTGCCTCTTGATTGGTTGATGGAGTTGATGTTGGTATAATGGGCTGTGTGATGGCCTTGTGAGTTTTGTTGTGGAGATATCCTGGAACTTGTGCTGTAATCTCCTGGGTTTGTTATCTCCTGGGTTTGTAATCTCCATTTGTTTTGTAGTGATCTTTTTTCTATTAGCTTCTCATGTTTTAACAGCTTGGGTAATGGCTTGTGTGATGACCTTGTGAGACTTATTGCTGTGGTATCCTTGATCTTGTGCTGTGATATCCTGGGTCATTTACTGTGTTGCAACTTCTTGCGTTCTTGTGGTGTAATTTCCTGAGTTTTCTGATGTGATATCCTGAGCGGGTGGCTGTGATGTAGCATTCTGGGTTTTAGTCTGGCTTCAAGTTTGGGGTCTGGGTTTGTGTTCTTGGCGTGTGTCTTGTTTGGTTTTGGGGTCGGGAGGTGCGACAGCTGGCGAGGCAGCCGTGGTCTGTTTTATGGATGGTGGTTGTCCTTCGTTTATAGGATGGGCTTGGGCCTGGGTCTGATGAGGGAGATTGGCTGTGGTGTCCTGTGTTGTTTCGGGTCTGATGTTGGTTTTCGTGGCTGAGACTCGTTTGTTGGTGAGGGCTAGCTTCCAGATGTCTGGTAGGCGGGAGGTATCGTCCCGTCTATTCATGTTATGGGGGTGTTTCTCTATCTCGATGGCTTCCCTGATTATTCTCTTGCTGGAGTGTTCAGTGTTGGATATATTTGGTTCCTTCGAAATTAATTTCATGTCGTGTGGCTTTAAGGTGCTGGAAGATGGAGAAGTATTTTCTTCTCTTCTGACTGTGTTTTTGTGTTCTGCGATACGTGCATTTATTCTCCTGTTGGTTTGTCCAATGTATGTGGCTGGGCAATTGTTGCATGGTATTTCATAAACTCCTTGGTTTTCTAGCTGGATCTTGTCTTTGGGGTTTCTTAGGATGTTGGCTACTTTTTGGTCAGTGCCGAAGGCTTTCCTGATATTGTGTTTGTGCAGAATTTTGCTGATTTTGTCTGTGGTGCCTTTGATGTAGGGGAGGAGTGTGATACCGTTGTCTTGTTCTGTGTCTTGGTTTTTTGGGGGTATCTCTTTTCAGATTAGATTGGTGATAGTGTTTCTTTGGAATCCGTTGGAAATTAATACATTAGTGAGGGTGTGTAGTTCTGTTCTCAGGTAGTCTTTGTCAGCTAGATGTTTGGTTCTGAAGATGAGGGTCTTGGCTACGAAGTTGGTCTGTGCAGGGTAGTGATGAGATTGTGCATTTAGGTAGCAGTTGGTGTGTGTGTTTTCTCCGGTAGATGGGTGTCCTAGGGAGCCATTGGGTTTTTTGTAAATTAGGACGTCCAGGAAGGGAAGTTGGTTGTTGGTTTCTGTTTCCA